TTCCTTCCTTCCTTCCTTCCTTCCTTCCTTCCTTCCTTCCTTCCTTCCTTTCTTTCTTTCTATCTTCCTTCATTTATTTATTTTACATCCCAACAGTAGCCTCTCCTCTCTCCTCCCATTCTCTCCTCTCCCTCCCATCCACCCACTCCTTCCCCCTTCTTCCCCTCTGCCCCTCCTCTGTAATCACTCAGAGAGTTGCAGACCGCCCATGGGCTTCAGCAAAGCAAGGCATATCAAGCTGCCATAAGAGCAAGCGCATCTCCCTGCATTCAGGCTGGGCAATGCAATCCGCATGATGAATAAATAGGTTCCCAAGAGCCAGTCAAAGCACCAGAGACAAACCTGCTCCCACTGCCAGGAGTCCCACAAATAGACCAAGCTACACAACTATCACACATATGCAGAGGACCTAGGTCAGTCCCATGCAGGCTCCCTGGTTGTTGGTTCAGACTCTATGAGTTCCCATGAGTCAGGCTAGTGGTTTCTGTGGGTTTTCCTGAAATGCTCCTGACTGCTCACTCCCCAGTTCATTTCCTACAATCCCTCCTACATCTCCTCAGCAGGACTCCTGGAGCACTGAGACGCTAAAAGCCTGAAGAGCCTGGAGAGAAGGGAAGCATTTTCTTAACTGAGGTTCCCTCTTCCTAGATGACCCACGCTTGTGTGTCAAGTTGACATACAAACTAACCCGGACACTTTCAGACACAAATGGAGGGGCCGTCTGACAGGTGCAATATGGTGGAACCCTGAGAACAAACCTGATCCCACCGGATTAGTCAGAAAACACAAAGGAGGGGAGAGAAGTGGCAGCTGGGAGGGGGGCCGGGGAGTGGGAGGGGGAAGCTTCTTTCATGTTTAGAACCCCAGTTTCACAAGATGAGAGGAGCTGTGGAAGAACATGGTGGTGCTATTTTCACATCATCCTGACAGTAGTTGATATGACAGAAATGCATCAAAACACTGATGACCGTCAATCTCATGTTGAAAATATGGATGGCAGGGGGGAGAAGCCTTCAGCTAGGGAAGACGTAGGATAGTTATTTAGGATGAACTTCAAATGCACCAGACCCCTTGGCATTCTCCACCTGAGGAAACTATGGAGTTCATGTTTTTATAATTCTAAATATCTAGAAGTTAATCTCAGGAGTCGTTGCACAGGGATTCTATTCACATTCACAACAGTGCCTAGCCCACAGTCTTGCTATTCACTTGCTTAATGACGTGTTATCTGGCTCCGCAGATCGGCCATACTTCTGGCCTGCGTAAGACACAGCAAGCATGTTCTGTAGAACCTAGAGCCTCTGTCCGGGAAAGCAAATAGCCGCTGAATCAGGGGCTCTTTGGAAGCAATATGTAAATGATTTCAGTGAGGGGTCAATGGGGTCAGTGCTAAATGGACTTCGCTTCTAGTCATTGTGAAATGATCTGCGGGCTGGATTCCAGCGTGAGAAGAAATGAGTTGGTTTAAAAAAGAAAAAAGAAAAAAAAAACATGATAATCTAAACAAGTTAATAGCCAAAACACAAGCAAAGTTGGCTGTTTTTGTTACACAAGAGGTTTTGCTGAGGATTTTTGTTTTGTTTTTTAATTCCTGTCCCCATAATAAACACTGGTGTTTATTTTAAATGGTATGGGGAGAGGGTGAGTGTTAGTGGGCCAGTCACTGTACGAAACCGACTGACTATAAGCCGCGTCAGTTCAATTCAAATGCCCACTTTTTTCATTATATTTTTAGTTGACTTTTTTTTTTTAAGTATTTTGAACACCCAGCCTGAATGCCAACCTGTGAGTAGATGAATCTAATTGGCGGGGGGCGGGGGGGGGGGGGAGGCCTAGCATGAGTCTTACACAGGTGACTTATAGTTCCTTTGAAGTCTCCACAAATGCCCAAATCACAGTCACGAGCCCCATGTACTTCCTGCAAGACTTTCTCAATAGGGGGATTAAGTCTCCGGAACACAAAAAGCCAAGAAAAAGTTACAGAATGTGACTGCCAAACATCAAGTGGAAAAAACTATCAGTAAGAAAAAGAGGATCGACTTTGAAGTAAAACAATGACTGTTTTCTCTCCACAAGCTGTTACAGATGCCTTTTCTCCTGGGCTTTCTGTATCTACTCTTTGTCCAGCGCCTTGTACCTGACTTAGGCACATCATCCTGCAGTCCAACTCTGGTACCGTCACTCCTCAGCTCATAAACCACCAGTGACTGCTCATTATCTGGAGAATAAAGTCCAAATTTGAACCTCAATTCAATCCCCATACTAGCTTCCCACAGCACCCTGTCTTAATAGTGTGTTGCACTGAGTTTTGTTCATGTAGAACACTAGGAACTAGAACACTCGGTCCCATTACCTTTTGGGCCCTTGTGGGCCAACCAATGAGAACCACTCTTGATGATTTATGTACCTCACATGGACTTCCCTGCCTCTCAGTTTTTGTCCTCTTGTCCCCAACCACTTGAAGTAGCTGTGGAGTTAAGATCTCCCTGAGTTCACAAACCCAGCTCACATACCACCTGCTACAGCCTGAATGTGTCCTGTTCATGTCATAGGTTAGAACACTAACCTCCAATGTGATTATCTGAGGCCACAAAAGGGCCTTCAGGGAGGTAGTTGTGGTTAAATGATGCTGTAAGAGTAAGCTCCTAATTCCATAGGACTTTGTGCATGTAATATATGGAGGAGCTCTAGAAATCCCTCTGTGTGTGCTTCTGCTCACACAGGATGCTGCAAGATGTTGGCTGGAGGAGAAGCCACCTGAGAAACCAGCTCTGTGGACCTTGATCATGGACTTCTAGCCTCCAACAGTATGAGAAACAACTATTATTTAGCCTTTGCAGACAATTGCACTATCTTGTCAACAATCTTTCTCTGATCATTTCCTTTCTCCATTCTTAAGGCACATGATTAATATTCCACATTAATATTTCATCAATATCTCTACAATTAATACTTATAACTTCACAGCATTATTTCCTGTGGATCTTGGCCTCATGAAGCCAAAGCTTGATCATTATCTAATGTAAAGTGGTTGGGATGGATCATGGCTCAACCCTGGTGTGTTGACTCCTTGTTCTGGGATTTTGGTCTTGTTCTGTCAGTTTGTCCAGTCCGGTACTTTCATCCAGTTGATTGTTAAAGCTGACCAATAAAGCTCAAGTCATGCATGCTCCAGAAGCATGAGGGAGGAAGATAGAAAAGGGGAGGCAATAGTGTTTGCCCTCTCCTCATTTGAAGCCTTGTTAGAAATTCCAATCAACCAACCATCCAGGTTAAGATTTCAGTAACCACAGACTGTGGTGATATTATGTTCCCCCAAATTTTGTGCACCCTAATAAACTTATCTGGTGTCAGAGGACAGAACAGCCACAAGGTAGACATATAGGCCAGAAAATGGTGGCACACACACCTTTAATCCTATCACTTGGGAGGCAGAGATCCATTCGGATCTCTGTGAGTTTAAAGCCACACTGGAAACAGCCAGGCATGGCGACTCACACCTTTAATCCCAAGAAGTGAGCCTTTAATCCCAGGAAGTGAGGGCAGAAAGCAGAAAGGTATGAGTACCTTATGGTGTGAAAACCAGGAACTAGGTTGGTTAAGCTTTTAGGCTTCTGAGTGACAGTTCAGCTCAGATCCATTTGGATGAGGACTCAGAAGCTTCCAGTCTGAGGAAACAGGATCAGCTGAGGAATTGGTGAGGTGAGGTGGCTGTGGCTTGTTCTGCTTCTCTGATCTTCCAGCATTCACCCCAATACCTGGCTCCAGGTTTGTTTTTATTAATAAGACCTCTTAAGATTCATGCTACAACAGACTGATTGTGTACAACACCTAACTCCAAGCCACGTGTGTGTGTGTGTGTGTGTGTGTGTGTGTGTGTGTGTGTGTGTGTGTGTGTGTTAAAGAGCAGAGCAATTTCTACCGTATTTGTGTTCACTTTTGTCACTGCTAGAGGATGGAGCTCCTTGGGGACATGTCCATTCATTGTGACTTATGCAACCTGAATAGTGTGTTGCACTGAGTTTTGTTCATGTAGAACACTAGGAAAGAAAGATCTACTGAGTGAATTCATTGGTATTAATTTACTTAAACTAATAATACAGGTCATGTAATAATGCAGATCCTACCCATTTCCTGTTGTATGCTCAGATGTATGGACACCCTAAATAAGATCTGATGTCAAGCCGGGCGGTGGTGGCGCACGCCTTTAATCCCAGCACTCGGGAGGCAGAGGCAGGCGGATCTCTGTGAGTTCGAGGCCAGCCTGGGCTA